ACATGCTAACTTGCTATACGTTCTAAAAGTCCAACCTCAAAACATAAATGGAAAAACCAAAACCTGTAACTCATTGAGCAGAGTTATTTGTTTAATTGTCTGATACTGGTGGGGACTAATTATTTCTGGGCTCTGGCAGTTTTCTGTACATAAAATCTGTATCGTGGCCTGATGGTAAGAGCTGGTAGGCTACTCCTGGTTGAGTGGGTGTGTGAGCTCGGTGGCAATCCTTACTGCCGTCCCGTACACAGTAGAATATTACATTATATTGTATTTGGCTTAGATTTTTTTTTATGGGTACAGGAGAGAGAGTAGCCTACTCTGTGTGATGATGCGGCTTGGCACTGGCCTAGCACAGCGTCAACAACATTCAGTTCATAAAATGGTTCCCCCCATTCTCCCGCCAATGTATTCTTTTGGATTGTCAACCCTGTTCTACCCGTTACCAAAATTATGCCCAAACATTTGTGTTTTATGCTGTAAGATTACCCCAGTATTTGTTATTTATTAGTATCAGTTATTATTTTTCAAAGTCATTTTCTAATGGTTGGAGATATACACAGCTTCATTCACGTTGCTGTGTTTGGTTGATTTCAGCGTCATGTGTAAGCCTAAAGGTTCTCAGAGATGGTTTAGAATGTTTTTAATTGTATCTGTCCCTTAAAGAGATTCTCCTGTACTTTTAAAATACTTTTTAGCCAGTAGTTCTGAAAGTAGCGCTCACGAGCCAAAAGTGGTCCCTGAAAATGGTGTACTACGTCACATATGTGCAGATATGTGCACCACGTCATTGCTCTCTACCTCTCGCTCTGCTGTGTGTGCATCGTGCTAGCTGTCACTCAAATGGAGAGAGGCTGAAGCTCATCGGCTGGAACTCGATTTTGCTAGGGGGCTGGCCTTGAGGTAATAAGGTAATTCTGCTCATAGATTATGCATGTATGAACTACACCTTGACACATAAAGCCCAAAGTGGGAGGTTTAAAAAAGACTTACTAGTCGCCAAAGTTCCGGAGCATGTCTTTAACAATTATATACCATACATTATCATTATTTTGATTGTTTTTCTTTAGATCCAATCAGGGTCACATAGGCTACTAGTAACCTACCCTTTTCATTATAAACGTGCGAAACACAGTATTGTCCGTAACGTTATTTTCCATAACGCTCTCAAATTCATTAAGAAGGAATGTGGACATAACTTGTAGCGACATAAAAAGCAAAGAGGGTTAATTAGGGGGCCGTCGTAACCCAGAGTTCCTGACCGACCTTGGCTCCTGCGCCTTAAGCGACACGAACCCGGGAAGACTGATCCAAGGGCATACCCACTGGTACCAATGGACAGACGACGCCGGGAATCGGGAACCATCATCACCCAGATAGTTGCTGACCACCTTGGCTCTTGCCCCATGTGAGACTAGCCAGGGTAGTCTGGTTGAATTACCAACGCACGACCACAGTACCAAGAGCGCTAACCCGCTTGGACACTCAAATAATGTCAATTATACTGAACAAAAATATAAACGCAACATGCAACAATTTCAAAGATTTTACTGAGTTACAGTTCATATAAGGAAATCAGTCAATTGAAATACATTTCTTAGGCCCTAATCTATGGATTTCACATGACTGGGAATACAGATATGCATCTGTTGGTCACAGATACCTTAAAAAAAAAAGTAGGGGCGTGGATCAGAAAACCAGTCAGTATCTTTTGTGACCACCATTTGCCTCATGCAGTGTGACACATCTCCTTTGCATAGAGTTGATCAGGCTGTTGATTGTGGCCTGTGGAATGTTGTCCGATTCCTCTTCAATGACTGTGCGAAGTTGCTGGATATCGTCAGGAACTGGAACACGCTGTCGTACACATCGATCCAGAGCATCCCAAACATGCTCAATGGGTGACACATCTTTTGAGTATGCAGGCCATGGGAGAACTGGGACATTTTCAGCTTCCAGGAATTGTGTACAGATCCTTGCAACGTGGGGCCGTGCATTATCATGCTGAAACATGAGGTGATGGCGGCGGCTGAATTGCATGACAATGGGCTTCAGGATCTCGTCACGGTATCTCTGTGCATTCAAATTGCCATCAATAAAATGTAATTGTGTTCATTGTCCATAGCTTATGCCTGTCCATACCATAACCCCACCATGGGGTACTCTGTTCACAACGTTGACATCAGCAAAACTTGAGACATCTGTGGCTTTGTGTTGTGTGACAAAACTGCACATTTTAGAGAGGCCTTTTATTGTTCCCAGCACAAGGTGCACCTGTATAATGATCATGCTGTTTAATCATCTTCTTGATATGCCACACTTGTCAGCTGGATGGATTATCTTGGCAAGGGAGAAATGTTCACTAACAGGGATGTAAACAAATGCGTGTTTTATTTTTGGGAGAAATAAGCTTTTTGTGTGTATGTAATATTTCTAGGATCTTTTATTTCATGAAACATGGGACCAACACTTTACATGTTGAGTTTATATTTTTGTTTAGTATATACAAATATATGTAATAATCGGCCACCGGACTGGCTCTGCGGCTGTGGACTCTTATCGACTTAACAATTATGTTTTAACCGGCGTGACGAAAACTAGAGGTCAAATCTAGAGGTCAAGTGTAGGCCTACAGACCAGTCTACCGTCTCTTTCAGAACATAGTAGCTAACGGCTACTAATTTGGTTTATGAAACTTTAGTTTACATGGTCCCCTAATTGTTATGTATTTTGCAGCCATTGAAAGTAATTTATTACTCACTTTAAAAAATTTTATCGCCAGCTCATTGTTACAACTTTTTGCCGCGCTTCCAACGTGCACTTCCTGGTCCTAGGGGGAGGCGACCCGCCGGATTGGGTTCTCATTCATATCCAGTTTGGGGGCGCCAATTTTGGTGCAGGGGTTTCTCCCTGTTTGTTATTTTGATAATATAAACGTTAGAGCTCTATAGGACTATTATTTTGAGTTGAGACATTGTATGTACATTTTGATTAATTGTTTTGTTCTTTCATATCAGCGAGAAATTATTTTCAAAAACGTTAAATTACTACACACGTTTATAGGGTTTTTGTTAGGGTTCCCACACGGCCATATTTCCATGTTACAGCGCTTGTTTACGGAAAACAGACGGAAGACAAATTCCACTACCTGTGCTAATTAGCTATCTGTGTCACCGAACACCTGTGTGTAAACACAAACATTTTGTCACTGAAAAAAACAGTTGGTTGCAACTGTGTTAAAACCGGTTAAAACTGTGTACAGTAAGTTTATATTTAGCATTTGTGAAATTATTTTGATGTGATATGAAAGTAGAGGGCGTAATGTTTCTAGAACCGTACAGCAATTGAGAATTAATTCACGTTGAAATTTAGTATTTGGCTGTTTTGACTGCCAGAGCCAATTCGCCTTTAAACAGAACATGGAAGGTACTTGGACTATAAGGAGTAACATTAGGCTTCTTATAGTCCATTACTGGGCTAGTATGACACAATCCGGGTAGGAGGGTTACCAACTAGTAATTTATGCCAGTCTGTTTCAGACCTTCAGGGCTATGAGAAGGGGGTAGACTGCTGATAGTTACCTGCTGGCTAATAGCTGTAGCCTACTATAAGAGACAGTTTTATATTCTAGATGTTCACCTAGTCTCTTTTTTCTGGATCCATTTGTATGTTAAAGTCGACTGCTAGATACTGAACACCTTGCTGTAAATAAAATATCAGACTTAATTTGAAAGACTGTTGTCCAGAGCCTTCCTGCCATCTCCCTTGGCCGTGAGACACATTACTTTTTCACGCTCTGTACGAAAGTACACTACATATACAAAAGTATGTGGACACCCCTTCAAATTAGTGGATTTGGCTATTTCAGCCACACCAGTTGCTGACAGGTGTATAAAATCGAGCAAACAGCCATGCAATCTCCACAACAAACATTGGCAGTAGAATGGCTTTACTAAGTGCTGTTATTGTGAAGTGGAAACGTCTAGGAGCAACAAAGGCTCAGCCGCAAAGTGGTAGGCCACACAAGCTCACAGAACAGGACCGCCGAGTGCTGAAGCGCGCAGCACGTAAAAATCACCTGTCCTCAGTTGCAACACTCACTACCGAGTCCTAAGCTGTCTCTAGAAGCAACGTCAGCACAAGAACTGTTCGCCGGGTCCTTCCTGAAATGGGTTTCCATGGAAGAGCAGCCGCACACAAGCCTAAGATCACCATGCGCAATGCCAAGCGTCGGCTGGAGTGGTGTAAAGCTCGCCACCATTGGACTCTGGAGCAGTGGAAACGAGATCTCTGGAGTGATGAATCACGCTTCACCATCTGGCAGTCCGACGGACAAAACTGGGTTTGGCGGATGCCAGGAGAACGCTACCTGCCCCAATGCATAGAGCCAACTGTAAAGTTTGGTGGAGGAGGAATAATGGTCTGGGGCTGTTTTTCATGGTTCGGGCTAGGCCCCTTAGTTCCAGTGAAGGGAAATCTTAATGCTACAGCATACAGTGACATTCTAGACGATTCTGTGCTTCCAACTTTGTGGCAACAGTTTGGGGAAGGCCCTTTCCTGTTTCAGCATGACAATGCCCGTGCACAAAGCGAGGTCCATACAGAAATGGTTTGTGGAGATCAGTGTGGAAGAACTTGACTGGCCTGCACATAGCCCTGACCTCAACCCCATTGAACACCTTTGGGATGAATTGGAACGCTGACTGCGAGCCAGGCCTAATCGCCCAACATCAGTAATCACTAATGCTCTTGTGGCTGAATGGAAGCAAGTCCCCAAAGCAATGTTCCAACATCTAGTGGAAAGCCTTCCCAGAAGAGTGGAGGCTGTTAAAGCAGCAAAGGGGGGCCAACTCCATATTAATGCCCAAGATTTTAGAATGAGATGTTTGACGAGCAGGTGTCCACATACTTTTGGTAATGTAGCGCATGTTAAACGTGTGTGTCTGTGTATGGGCCCGTACCTGTTGGTGGCTGGGGAAGCTTCTCATGGCTTCCAGTACTTGATGCACGACTGCGCTGAGCAGGGGGTGGGGCATGCCCACAGCCATGTCCTGATTGGTCAGGTTGAAGACGCAGGCTGAGGCCACCAGCTGGACAGGGAGAGACTCTGAGTGGTTCTGCATCCCTCCCAACACCAGCTACAGGAAGGCGAGAAGGGTACCTACATATTGACTTCATAACACATTCATGACCCATACATAACACATGTATAAGCAGTACATAAGCTTTTTGTGTAAATGCTTATGTCAACAACCACAATTTCAGATGGAGACATTTCAGATGCAGACATATTCCGACCGCTACCTTCAGGATGTCTGGTCTGGTCTGGTCGTACATGTCATTAGTCAGCTGGTAGAGATGGACCAGGGCCTCGCGTGTGAAACACTCTCTCTCTCTGTACCTCCTCAGAGACTCACAGATCTGCTTCTCATTGGCCTCGCCGGTCACCTGGAAGACAAACACAAGAAGATTATTCGTCACTCACTTATTCCTCATTCCTCTGCACATATCTGATAGGACTGGATAGGTCATAGGTGTAAGCAGTATGGCGGAAACTACTGCTTACACCTTCACAGCTGTCTCAGATCCACCAAAGCAAGTAAATGACAGCAGGAAGTAGGAGGCATTTTTTGTAATGAACAATAAAATTCCCCCGAGCGGTCACCTCACCTTTAAGTTGTCCTTCCCAGACAGAACGTCACAGGAGCCAGCCCCAGTAGCCAGCAGACCCAGGAACACCAGCCCACTCCTCCCCTCCACGAAGGCCGTGACCGCCCCTTCAGTCACCTTCTTCCTTCCAGACACATCCAGAGACACAAGTGCTGGGAGAACCCCAGAACCCCCCTCCAGAAGCAGCCTCACCGCTTCATCCCCCTCCCCCCATTCGTCATCCTCTGCGGAGGGCGGTGCAGAGGCGAAGCGGTCGTCAGAGAGGTCCAGGTGCCTGAGAGCGTGGAGCTGGCTAAGGATGGAGATCACCCTGGCAGGGGACATGTCCAGCTGCCTCAGCCCGTGGGCAGTCAGGGATCTTAGGGTAAACCGGCAACCCAGCAGGGCACTCAGCTCCATGACGGGGGTGCTGGAGATGTCCAGGCCCTCTAGCTGTGGGAGAGTACAGATGTCCTCCAGGAGGGGGTCTGTGAGGTCCGTGTTGGCCAGGTTGAGTATCTTCAGGCCCTGCAGAGAGCTGAAGCCCACCTGCCCTTCCTCCACCTCCATGGACTTCCAGCCCATCTGGAGCCTGCTCAGTGTGAGCCTCTGCAGGCTGGCTCTGCACTCCGGGTTGGAGGCCAGGCCTGAGAGGATGTGGGCCCCAGTGAGGCCCCCAGGGACCCGGGAAGCATCCAGCTCCTGCAACCGGTGAGGGCAGAGGGCCAGACGGAAGGCCTCTGCAGAGAGGGGAGAGGAGCGGATACAAGCTCTGCGCAGACGGAGTTGTTCACAGCTGCGGAAGATACCGACTGTTCTGTCGTTTAGCGTGCCTAGGGGATAAAAAAATAAGAAGTGAAAACGTGAGGTAAGGCTGAAATGTGGACCTAAAATCAACCTATTGAATACAAATTCCCTTTATTAAACCCATAGGTTTGTTAACCAGTACATTTATTTAATTCCATTTGTGTGTGTTTTGTTGGTGAACATTCTCTGGCGCCCTCCCTACTCACCCTGGGTAGCCATCTTGTGCAGTAGCTGATCAGCCATTTCCTGTGGGAGCAGTGGGGCCCAGCTGAGCCTCAGGGAGCCATCTGGTTGCGTGCTGCAGAGGGAGTCCAGGCTGAGACACACCTGGGCCAGACACAGCTCAGACAGGGCCACGGGACAGGACTCCTCAGCCTGCAGTCAAACACACAGCTGGCTTTGGTTCTGTAGCGCATGACATTGCACCTGATGCAACCACATTTGATATGAATGGGTACTTGGTATGTTTAATTTCCATACAGCAGTGATAAATGAATGATAAATGATTATGCTTTTAGGTACCTTAATCTGTCACTCTGTTTAAAGTGTTTTGTAAGCTAAATAGTTTTCTTCAGAATAAACCTTTTACTCGATCAATATTAGATGACACAAACATTTGTAAATACTTTATATACACTACCGTTCAAAAGTTTGGGGTCACTTAGAAATATCATTGTTTTCGAAAGAAAAGCACATTTTTTGTCCATTAAAATAACATCAAATTGATCAGAAATAGTGTAGACATTGTTAATGTTGTAAATGGCTATTGTAGCTGGAAATTGCTGATTTTTTTATGGAATATCTACATAGGCGTACAGAGGCCCATTATCAGCAACCATCAGTCCTGTGTTCCAATGACACGTTGTGTTTGCTAATCCAAGTTTATCATTTGAAAAGGCTAATTGATCATTAGAAAACCCTTTTGCAATTATGTTAGCACAGCTGAAAACTGTTGTGCTGATTAAAGAAGCAATATATATATATATATATATATATATATCTTTTTTTTTACAAGTACTTAGTTATGGCTCTTTCTCAAGGCGAAACAACGAGAGTACATTCAGAGCCACTGACACTGTGAGTGACATACAGTTGGATATGCGATTACGACATGGCTTGTTTCTAAATTTACCCACAGAGTAATGGCGCATTAGTTAGTCCTTTTAAATCACCCTCTAATCCTACAGATCTCTTGACCAAGGTGAACAAAAGCAAGGCGCTTGCTATTTTACTATTTGACAGAGACAGCAAGGCAATACGAAAATGATCTGGGAAGGGGGTAGCCTAATAACTCACTCACCATTTTTTTGTTTTTTAAATACAAATATTTCCCATCACTTTGCAATATCATATGACTTTCAGAAGAAGCATTGTGGTTCAAATTGCAAGACTATCTTCTGTCGTGGATATGCACATGTATATTCCTTTCTTTTTTTTGTCTGTTGACGTTGGTAAAATCAAGTTACAAAGTACAGTATCTACTGCTAGTCAAATTACTGTTGAATGTTGATACAGCGACAGCAGTTGATCCCATAGAAATAGTTGATCCACGAGCTGTCGTACTGTAATACCGTTTTGTAATTGGTCAGCAGAAGTCAAACGTCATCCAATGGCAACTTCTCTTCAAAGCAGGTGCGATTCCCTTATAATGTTCTGTGATACATCATGATAGATGAAATGGCATTTGATTTGCATTCGATAATGAAATGCACAATAATTTAGTCCTTGACATTTTAGTACAATTAACTCAGTTTTTAGCTGTCTTTGAAAAATTTTGAAGAAGGGTAAGTAACTAGTTTTGCCACAAGGAGGGGCCACTGGCCTCTGGGAAAATATTACCGGTAGGGTAATGTTGATTCCCCTTCATGACTTTGCTAAGAGATGCTCAGTTGCTCCCAATACAAAACTTCAAGAACTATCTCTTTGTTGAAGATTTTAAATGAACAATATTGCATCTAGAAATACTCTCCCACAGCTTTTTTTTGTGTTGGGTTTAGAATATTATATCATATAATTTAGATTGAAGGGTTCCAATGTGGTTGGATGAATATGTGCACTGGGTGGAGATTTCAGTTTACCATAATATCACTTCCTCCTAAACCCTTTGGTGCTGTTCCCTTTTCTTTCAGCTCCAGCAGCAGCAGTAGCCTAACCCCTAATACAACACATTAGCTCATGAGTTTTCCTCTCCAGGCCAGGGCTGGCCCATAAGGCCCTCAATGTTGTTTTTCAGACTTAACTAGGCCATAAAATCAGCTGAGCTCTGAGCAGGAGGGCAGTATTGGGTCTATTACCAGGGGAATTGGCAAAAAGAGAGAAAAAATCTATGTATCTATCTAGAATGATCTACAAATGCATGCCACGCTTTGGCTGATGAGGGAGCAAACACAATACCTCTGTTTAAGGACATAGGGACTGTGGAAAGCTCTTGCTGACAGCTGATATCCTCTGAAGGACAGCTAATAGATGTCTAATAGACTAAATACCTGCTAAACTGCAGCCGAAACATGGCTTTAAGAGAAGAGTACAGCTCTTTTCACGGCTCACGTCTCTCTTTTATTTGTTATCCTTGGATTCGTTTGCTGTGCTCAGATTTGCTCTTGTGTGCTATTAAAATAAATGTAATTAAGCCTTGGCAAAGGCTCCTGTGTTTCACGTCTCACTGAAATATCATACCGCGTTTTAGAGTTATTTGAGTGAGAGAGGTAAATTCCTCCAGCTGCCTTTGATCCAGTGAGACTTTACAGCTCTCACTGGTTGACTATCAATTTTAAAGCTTTATGTCTTAGTGGAGGAGTTACACAACTCAGCTGGCTCAGTTCAGACTCCAGACAGACATGAGCTCTATTAGCTAAATGGTTCTATTTTCATTCAGGGTTATTTTCTTCCCATCTGTAGGGTTTTGCATCCCTGGTTAATATAATTAGCTGGTTGTGGGTGTGCTGTGACAAGTTTGAGGACTGCGTTGGTAGGGATAGATAAATGGATCTCTATGGAGATTCCCAACAGTGGATGTCTCTCTGAGCAATTGTCGTCACCAGGAACCTGGTGGTTGAAGGTTCCACTAATTTTTTCCAAAAGTCTTCCGAGTTTAGCGCCGTCATGGTGGTCAAAGACTCCTTTCACCCCTGATGATCCCACAGAGGACCACCAGCTGTCCCCAGAGCCAGGCTGTGGCCAGTGCCTGAGTGTGGTCTCCTCACTGGGGCCAAAGATCTCACCTTCTCCCTTCCAGCTCCTGCATTGGTGGCTCTCTGGCGGAGGGCGGCAGGTGTGTGGCTAACTGGCTATGTAAAGTTTGAGGGTTTATAGTGCAGACAGAGTGACGGGAAGACTCAGGGTGGATCCACTGAATGTGTTTTACATAAATGGTGGACGTGAGCACACACCCACACACATGCAAATGTAATACAGTGATTTTAATAGGAGTGTAGGATCGGAACATTTTAACAGCTGCAGAAAGAGTTCTATGTGGTCGGTCCATCTCTCTCCACCACCCTCCTTCATACATAGTTACACACCTTTAGGAGAGGCCCCAGCGCCATCCAATGCAAATATTAGAGAATCTGTAAAGAATGTACCTCAGGCCTCCGGTGGAAAACTCTTTCTCTGTTCCCCACTGTACCATAACATAGCACACGGCTCACAAAAAGACTCAAGCCATGCAAATCAGTTGAGGGACAGAAAATCTCATACTAATTCTCAATCTGCTAATACATATAGAACTCTGACCATTTTTCATTTTCTCACATAAAGAGAATGCCCTTGGATGACCTCTCTTAGTCGTCCACTCCCTAGTTGTCTCCCTTGTTAAGCTGCTGAATTGTTTAGATTTTACCCATTACAAGCAAAGTGTCTTAAGTCAACTGTTCCAATGGTCTTTTAAGGTCTCAGTAATTGTTCTAATAGTTTTTGTGTGTGAGTATGTTAAATTGACTCAGTTTTATAAACAAGTCAGTAAAACAGTAAAAATAGTTTTGTTTGGTTTATTCCAACTGGTTTCTTTATGTCACTTTTATATTAAACCCTGATGACTGGGCGTGTGCCGACTGCTGTGGTTTAGTCTCTGGCTGTAGTGTATAGTACTTATATAATATCATGTATCAATGATTCTTGAGACCAACATGATATCATAGGAATATGTAATCCTGGCACATTTTAGCAAAAAGGTAAAATGTCACAGTAGCTGATGTTTTTCTCAATACATTACAGTCAATGGGAAAAGATTACTGTCACAGGGTTGACGTATTTCTCAATACATTGCAGTCAATGGGAAAAGATAAGTGTCACAGGGTTGGTGTATTTCTCAATACATTGCAGTCAATGGGAAAAGATGAGTGTCACAGGGTTGATGTATTTCTCAATACATTGCAGTCAATGGGAAAAGATGAGTGTCACAGGGTTGATGTATTTCTCAATACATTGCAGTCAATGGGAAAAGATGAGTGTCACAGGGTTGACGTTTATCTCGTTTATCTCATGTCTGTGTCTCTCTCACGCTCTACCTCTTCTTTCTCTCCCCTTCATTCACCCCCTCTCCTCCTCTTTCACCCTCTCCGTCTCTCTCTCCCCTCTCTCCCCATCGCTCACTATCCCCCTTCTCTCTCCCTCCCTCCTAGACTCTCCATTCTCTCTCCCTCCTTCTTTCCCTCCCTCCACCTCCACTCATCTCTCTCTCCCTCTCCCTCCTCCCTCTCCCTCCTCTCTCTCCCCACCCCTCCTTCACCCCCTCCCTCTCTCTCTCTCTCTCCCCTTTCCTCACTCTCCCCCTTTTCTCTCTCTCCTCCCCCCTCCATTCTTTCCCTGCCTCCCCCTCCTCTCATCTCTCTCTCTCCCTCTCTCTCCCTCCCACAAACAGACATGCTCCGACAAACAGACACAGACATGCAGACAGACACACAGAGAGACAAACAGACACATACATGCAGGCAGGCAGGCAGGCAGACAGGCAGACAGGCAGACATGCAGACATGCAGACAGACACAGATAGTTTGAAGTTTCAAGTGAATAAAAAAAATGTGACCAATATCCTCTTCAGAATTCATTCAAGAAGGCTCTTAGTTTCTAGAACTGCAAGACCATTGTGTTCAATTGAGGTCAAAAATGCTTTTGGGTCTATTGACTTCACATTTCATAGGCTGGGTCCCCCGGTCACAAATATGTACAATTTGGGAAGAATAAACCTTTTTAACCCTTCGAAACCGCCCATATGAACCCCAATTAAGTCACTTTCTGTAATCGCAGGAAGCTGAAAATCAATGTACGGCCTCCTGGGGACACTCCTTAACAATGCAAATCTTTACGTTAAGAATTGACCTTTCTACAAAGGATGGAAGACAGTGTTATTTTTGTTTGTTTTATTATTATAATTGTCTGCATAATTTCCAATCCCTCATATATATATTTTTGCAAATATATTTATGTATATATACATACACATACATACCCACATATACATACATATACACATATACATACATACATACATACATACATACATACATACATACATACATACATACATACATACATATACATACATTTATATATATATATACATTATATATATTACCACCCCTCCCCTAATTGGAGTAAACTAATGAACAACAACACTTAGGCTTCTACTTCCAGCTTATACACACTATTGTACATTTTACGGACACAATCTATTTTACAATAGTTATATTTTGTTTGTTTTTAGTCCTGTCCTTCCTCTACCCTCAACCTCTCCCATCTATATCTGATGTCCATCCAGTTTGATTTCTATGCCATATATTTTTAACTGTGCTGTTTCACAAAAGTTCTGAACCTATATACATTATACAGACACAGTATATTTTACATTTGTTATCTTGTTGTTATTAGTCCCACCCTTCAGCTCCATTCAACTCCTCCCATCTATCTCTTAACACCATCCATATTGGATTTCTATTTGCCATATATTTTTCAACTGTGCTGTGATGTTTCACAAAAGTTCTGAACCTTTCTATTCTCATAGTTTCCACAGATTTTAAATTAAAGATACATTTTTTTGCTAAAAGTATTATTATATTATTGATCGATTGACTATGACTTTTCAAATCACCCAGTATTGCTATCTGCAGTGTTAGCTCCATGTCACGCCCTGGCTCTGGGACTCCGTTATGTTGAGCCAGGGTGTGTTGTTTCTATGTGTTTTGGGTTCTAGGCTGATTATCTAGCTCATGTGTTTCTTTGTTGGCCGGGGTGGTTCTCAATCAGAGGCAACGAGTATCAGCTGTTGCTTGTTGTCTCTGATTGGGAACCATACTTAGGCAGCCTGTTTTCCACAGTGTGTTGTGGGATATTGTTCCATGTATGGTTAGTGTCTGTTACCAAGGACGTCACGTATCGTTTTGTTGTTTTGTTCGTGCGGTACTCTAATAAATAAGTATGTTCGCAAATCACGCTGCGCATTGGTCCACTGTGTATGACGATCGTGACAGAAGATCCCACCAAAACTGGACCAAGCAGCGTGTCCAGGAGCCAACGCCAGAGGTAACTCTAGCGGATATCCACTTCGACTGGGTCAAGCAGCGTGTCCAGGAGCCAACGCCAGAGGTAACTCTAGCGGATATCCACCTCGACTGGGTCAAGCCGCGTGAGGAGGAGAGAGGTTGGACGGGAGCAGAGGCTGGAGTGTCTGGTGAGAGCCATGGAGGCCATAGCCACGGGGGAGAGACGAACCCAATAAATTTTTAGGGGGGGGCTCACACCGTGGACGACGGGACTGCTGGAGGCAGATAAGGGGCGAGTTAGTGGACGAGGAGAGAAGGCCACCGGGTTACGGGAGCCATTGGCGAGTAGAGGGAAGGAGAATGTAGAGGCACGGCGAGAGGTACTGAGGTGTGTTGCCAGTCCGGTCCGGCCCGTTCCTGATTCCCGGGTAAGGCCAGTGGTGTGTGTTCCCAGTGCGGTCCGGCCTGTTCCTGTCCCTCGCACCAAGCCTATGGTGCGCGTCGCCAGCCCGGCCCGGCCTGTTCCTGCTCCCCGCACCAAGCCAATGGTGCGCGTCGCCAGCCCGGCCCGGCCTGTTCCTGCTCCCCGCACCAAGCCAATGGTGCGCGTCGCCAGCCCGGCCCGGCCTGTTCCTGCTACCCGCACCAAGCCAATGGTGCGCGTCGCCAGCCCGGCCCGGCCTGTTCCTGCTCCCCGCACCAAGCCAATGGTGCGCGTCGCCAGCCCGGCCCGGCCTGTTCCTGCTCCCCGCACCAAGCCAATGGTGCGCGTCGCCAGCCCGGCCCGGCCTGTTCCTGCTCCCCGCACCAAGCCTGTAGTGCGCATCGTCAGCCCGGTTCGGCCCGTCCCTGCTCCCCTCACCAAGCCTGTGGTGTGCGTCGTCAGCCCGGTCCGGCCCGTTCCTGCTCCCCGCACTAAGCCTGTGGTGCGCGTCGTCAGTCCGGCACAGCCCGTGCCTGGGTCACCGGTGCCTGGTCAGGTACCGGTCAGCTGCTCCACATCGGAGCCTAAGCAATCCGCTCCACCGATGTCCAGTCCAGCTCCAGCCAGCGGGGCCAGACCGGACCAGGGGCGCTACGGAGGGTGGTGGTCAAGCCCGGAGCCGGAACCGCCTCCGAGGAGGAATGCCCACCCGGCCCTCCCCTGTTCGGTTTATGTTTGGCGCGGTCGCAGTCCGCGCCTTTGGGGGGGGTACTGTCACGCCCTGGCTCTGGGACTCCGTTATGTTGAGCCGGGGTGTGTTGTTTCTATGTGTTTTGGGTTCTAGGCTGATTATCTAGCTCATGTGTTTCTGTGTTGGCCGGGGTGGTTCTCAATCAGAGGCAACGAGTATCAGCTGTTGCTTGTTGTCTCTGATTGGGAACCATACTTAGGCAGCCTGTTTTCCACAGTGTGTTGTGGGATCTTGTTCCGTGTATGGTTAGTGTCTGTTACCAAGGACGTCACGTATCGTTTTGTTCGTGTGGTACTCTAATAAATAAGTATGTTCGCAAATCACGCTGCGCATTGGTCCACTGTGTATGACGATCGTGACACTCCAGGTAAATGTTGCAATTGTTGGACAACAGTGTTTTTGTGTAACTGCAGGGAGAGAATGAAGGACCATGTTGAGGATGAATTAAGACACTTCCTGTTGCCACAGGAAGCTGAACCTCAACACAGGGCATCTCTATAAGGTCACGATTGGTTGTGTGCAAAGACGGTTAGCTAGCTCAATCGCAGTCAACGGGGGCGTCATGGGTTATGTGAGGGCTGTAGGTAATGCTTTTCTATAGAAGAACAGCCTTGTTCTCTGTGGGACCAAGTTTTCACTGTGACGAGTTAAGGCTTGCATTCATCGGGAGTGTCTGTTGAATGATCCCATGCGTACATTTTGTTTCTAGCCTCAACCGTTCTGCCGATGTCACTCAAAAGCACATTAACTCAAGGTCAGGCTTCAAGTGGGGCCTACTTTTCTGCCATGTAGTGGCATGAAGCTAGGGTTAGGGTTAGGTTTAGGGTTGAGTTTAGAGTTTGTCTGTCTGCCTGCCTGCCTGCCAGCTACCTGCCTGTCTGTCTGTGAGTGGATATGCCTGTCTGTCTGTCTGTCTGTCTGAGAAAGAGATAGAGGAGAGAGAGAGGAGAGAGAGAGAGAGAGAGAGGAGAGGGTGTCATGTCTGTGATGTCTTTCTCTATGCATCCATATTGTGATGTTAATCTTCCCCCCATTGAACGTGATGTATTCACTTAGGCATCAACCTTGTGACACTGATCTTTTCCAATTGTCTGCAATGTATTGACATAAGATTAAATTGGTTGACGCTTGTCTTTTCACATTGACTGCAATGTATTGACATAAACCTTGACCCTGTGACACTCATTTTTTCCTATTGAATGCAATGTATTGAGAAAAACGTCAGCTACTGTGACATTTGACCTTTTTTTCTAAAACGTGCCAGGATGACGTTTTCATGTTGATAATGGGCTGTTCAGACAGCATCAAAATTCATGATAATACGTTTTATTTCAGTCCCTTTTATTAATTACCATTGACTTTCATGTTTTGTGAGATGGATGTGTATGTAGCGTGCTGTGTGTTGCAGACCAATCAGTCAGAGGAACCCGCTGGTCTCCTCTTCTGGGATCGGTTTCCCTCCAGATACAGCCTGTTCTACTGGTGATTACAGACCACAGGGAGTCATGACTTTTTCAGTGAAAAATATTCAAAAACATACAGCCCAAGCACTTTTGTATGGAAAGAATGTACATTTCTCTGTAAAGGAAAAAGGAAAAAAAGATAACTTGGAAATTTGGACAGATTCCATCCCAGTTCCCCCCCTCCCCCTCTCTCCCCCTTTTCTTTCTCTTTCCCTCTCCCCCCTCCTTCTCTCCCCCTCTCATTTTCTCCCCCTCTCTCTCTTCTTCCCTTCTCTCTGTCCTGTATGGCTTTCAGCAATGTGTTTCTCGTTGGCTGTTCCGATGCCGCTCACTAACTCTCTGCTTCGTCTGCATTTTTTAAGTCTCCAAAACCACGCAAAACAAACCGTAATTCCTTTTCTTTTTTTCATTAATAGTTGTTTTGACTCTGGCTCGTATTGAAATGTTATCAACAGCAAAATGAGAAAAACATCCACACAGCCTGGAGTACATAAGTCAGCTGTGAAAGCGCAATACATGATGCATGATGCACAAATATAGTGAATAGAAAACCCAATGTTTTCACCTTGGCGCCTGGTTTATTTCAAACATATAAAAAATATCTAAGGGACATAAATCATAAAGCATCACAAGATGGAGAAGTTGGAACAAAGTAGATTGAATGCTTACATAAGATGTTATTACAACTAAAGATATTTACACACCTCTAAAATTGGCAACATTTTACCTCTAGTGTCTATCATGGATATACAGTATCAATGCCATACCATAGGTCAGTTGTTTTGATTTCTTCTTCATGGTAACTGATATGTCTGGTACTCCTTGCTCTAATTCTAGTGCTGCCAGTGATGCCTAGACATTAGTAGTTTCTAAAGGAAGTGCTGAGGGTCTCTAGGCCTGCAGGATAAACCTGTCGTCTGCCTGCAAATTGTGAAATACTTTGCCACCTCACACAATGAGGTCACACAATGTTTGTAGTCAATGTCTGTGAGTGGGTTTGAGATAGGCAGTACTGTACATGTGTTGGTTGAGGGTTAGGATGGTCGTGGTTCTCCCTCTCTAGTCTCAGTCTATGCGTCTGATCATCATGCGGACTCCCTTCATAGAGTAGAATCCTCCGCCGTAGTCCGCCCAGAAGATTCCGTCCTGAAACTTACTGCGGTAGACCCCGCCGTTGTACCAAACACCGTTCAGATTGGCCTGGCCACAGGAGTTGTACCACCAGCCTCCCTTATGGAAGTGTGCACAGTTACCTGCATAGAGAGAATATGAATAGTCCATTAAAAGATAACCATTGAGTTTGGCTCATATGTGTTCTTAAGGACCTACTTGATGTCTTAGGTTTTTAGCCAACAGCATATCAGTTGATTGATTGACCCACCTGAGAAGGCGTCCTTGTCTTGGTCCAGTGTGGTAAACTGCTTGCCGTTGTGGCTGCTGAGTGAGTCACCAGCGTTTCCCTGATAGGTACCCAGCCTCAGGCGGTAGCCCTCGCTCTCAGGCTCCAGGTGAAAGCTGCTGTACTCAGCATACACCTTCTTCCCCACCCAGTCCTCCAGCTCCACTAGAAGTCTGTAGTCAGACTGCTTCCCTAAGTTGTAGATCCCAAGCAGCCCCAGCCAGTACTCACCGTCTATGTTGCCAAATCCATTCTGAGAAAGGAGGGGACAGAGATAAAAAATGAGTAGTTGGTTTTGTAGTCACAGTGGTTTAAAAAGAGGAATGTTAAAATAAGGAATATTGTAAATCAACTTTTGTCAAAAAGTACTTTTGGAAGACAAGAGCACTAATCTTAGCCAATCATCTAATTTACTTTTTGATTCTCCTGCAAGTGAGTTTTAGTCTTCTTTGGCCATAATAATGTATAAGACAAACAATCATTTGATATTCAAATCAGAGAGTTCACTTTGCATTGAATTACTGTACTGTAATTAAAATAGGCTATACAGATGAAACTAAAGACATTGTGGAATCCATACTGGAAAATAATAAGCATCATTCTTAGAAATGGGGGCTTTCATTGTTCATCTTTCAACCCCAAACAACAGTTGGAATCCCTGCTAATGGTGATGATACTGGCCCCCTTGTGTGTGTTGAAAAACCAGGACCAATATGTATCCGGCTGTTCTTCTCAGAGCACTTCAACACTAAATGGCTGTGGTCTGATTTGGTTTCTGATTGCGGATTAAATAGTCCAGCCGGGAATGATGATGTATGATCTGGAGGGGTTTTGTCCTGGGCCTCCATTGGTGCTATGTGTGTGTGTGTGTGTGTGTGTGTGTGTGTGTGTGTGTGTGTGTGTGTGTGTGTGTGTGTGTGTGTGTGTGTGTGTGTGTGGTGTGTTCGTGTGTGCATGCATGCGTATGTGTTTATATGTGGTGGATTGGTGGTGGGTGATAGATGAATGGTTGTGAATCAATGTCGAGGAGAGTGATTAAGTTCCAGTTAAACATACGCTAGCTAGCCTGGCAGAGCTATATGGAACACTGAATCAAATCACTAAGCAAGAAGCAAGGCCAACTCAGATACAGTTAATCCTTAAGATGTACTGGATGGATGTAGCTAGCAGAGCTGTGTTGGTTTGGAACGCAAATGTTGATGATTGAGCGGTGGAACATACCTTCCTACTGGGTCTTCCTATGTTTCATAATGTCGATCTCGAAACTAAATATCTTCAGCATGAATACGCTGACACACACATTATATTATAAGTGAAAACACGAGTTGTCCAGGCCTTGGAAAGGATCCTGAGACACCAGACCAGACAAGTTCCTTTGGATAGGTCATATAACGGCACCATTGTTGTCTCTGGCTTAACGGTTTTGGAAGAAGCGGTTGGACAGACAGAGGTGTCTTTGTCATCATCACCTTGTAGGCGTCCCAGTTCCTGAAGAAGTTGATGGAGCCGTCCCTCCTGCTCTGAATGACGGTCCAGCCTCCGTTGTCCAGGCCCTGCTCACACCACACCTGCATGGGCCTCTCTGCCTCGTCAGGTTTCAGCAGGTACATACCGCTGGTGCCATGGCCAGCCTCCTGCACCTGGAGACAGTCCCTGAAAGGACCTGCGGCAGGACGGATGGAGGGAGAGATACAGAGATGGAGGGATGAGGGAAGAGATGGAGGGATGGGGGAAGAGATGGAGGGATGGGGGAAGAGATGGAGGGATGGGGGAAGAGATGGAGGGATGGGGGAAGAGATGGAGGGATGGGGGAAGAGATGGAGGAACAGAGGGAGAGATGGAGGGATGTATCTGTTACAGACTTTTCATCACAAACCAGATGTAGGCAGTTAAACCAGTGAGTTTGTTTAGAACCCATTGATTATAGTTGACCTCTTATCTACAGTTCATTTGTTATACATTTGTCTTAGAGAAGATGTGGACAGTTAAAAACAGTGACCCACTGGGCACAGATGTCATTTCAATGTCTAGTTCTGATTTTCATTTGGTTGAGTTGTCAATTAACGTGAATTCAACGTGAAATCAATCAAAACATTTCACCAGGATTTAGGTTCAACTTTGGGTGGATAAAAATACTAAATTCCTTTACGTTGATGACTTTTTGCAAGTTCAATCATCACCTTGAATATTTTTCTTGAAATGACGGGGAAACAACGTTGATTCAACCAATTTTGCCCAGTGGGGAGTTTGTTTAATGTGAGATGAATCTTTTCCTAGTTTATAGAGGAGGATAGCTACTGTGTTAGTCTGTATTAGTCTCAGCAAGCGATGGTGAAGTAAACCAGAAGTGCTGCTACTTTGCGGTTAGGGGAAGGAAACCATGTCATTCCAGCCTGGCTTCTGTCCATGCTTAGCATGAGAAGGAGCAGTCCTGGAGAGGGTTCACTTTCATACAGAACTGCCTTCAAATCCCACAGGCTTTATTATTCTTGGGCCACCCAGGACGATCTAAATGTGTCAGGAATTTCGGTTGATGAGTAAAATCACACAGGCTTTTCCTTTCTCTCTTCTTTCTTCTGATTTCAAACATGACAACATTTTTATTTCCATCGAGGAGCAGCACCAAACCTAGTTCCAGCTGAATATGCAAATGTTTCATTAAAAAACTCAGTCTAAGAAGAAAATTAACCTGCTGTTATTCCATTCATACACCCATTGGTCTGTGGTTGTGAGGTTCATTTAGAAATACCTCTATGTTTTACCCTTGGTACCAACCAACCACCCAGACACCCATCCCACCAACCAACCACCCAACCCACCAACCAACCAATCTATAAAATTACTTAATCAATCAGTTGCCTCACCCTCTGCACTGAAGTTGCCCTGCGGAGCCTTCCGGAGCTCCAGGGTGCCTCCTGTGGGTGCCGGCCCCGCTCGGGAGCCCCTGTCTCTGGGGAACGCCCGGCCATGGTCCCTCTGGATCTCATTGGTGAACCTTGGGATGCTAACCGGTATGTTCTCCGGCACCACCTGCACCAGCGGTGGGCCCTGAGGAGGCTGCTCCTGCCGCCGGCCGTACACCTGCAGACAGCGCTCCTCCAGGGCACCAATCAAAACCGACTGGTTGTTGACCACGGCAGAGAGCGTGGCATAGTGGACCTCCAGGTCACGGTAGCGGGCGGCCAGACGTAGGGACTCTGCTGTGGCATTGAGAATGCGTCCCTCCAGCTGAGCCAGCTCCAGAGAGTTGTCTCTCTTCCTGATGATCTCATGAAGCAGCTGCATGTAGAGCTGGGTCACCCTGGAGTTCATGTTCCTGCTCTCCTTCCTCAGCAGCTTCATCTCATTCACCATGTTCCCATCCACGTCCACCACAAGCTTCAGGGTGTCCATCTCCCGTCTCTGTTTGGAGAGCAGGTCCCTTACTGCCGCCATGTCCAGGCGGGTCACGCGATCCTTGTCCGTGTGTAGGCCCCGGCTGGCGCAGATGGGCCCTGTGATCTTCTGCTCAGGGACCAGGAAGGTGTATGAGCACTTTTTGGGTGGTTCTCCTTTGTCTTCTGGGGCCCTCCGTCTCCGGGTCAGGATGGGGGATCTGAGGCCCTCACTGCTGCTCCAGACAGACAGCCCAAGCAGGACAAACAGGCACAAAGCTCTGGACCCCATGGTCAGTCTCTTGGTTCCTCTTCTCTTCTTCCGCTCCTCTACAGCTGATGGCTGTGTCACTGGTGCACCTAAAACACAGACAGGGGAGAGCGGGTCAATATGTGGTTGAATTCTTAGCAGTGGTGTGTGCACTGCAGAGTAGGCATGTAGAAATATGTTATCATAGCTCCAATTCTGGCTTCAGTTCATTTACTCTTGGGTGTTCCTTCATGCTACTGCCCCTAACCAGGCTATATCACGTCTCTGGGTGTGTTTGGTTAGCTCCTGTTCTCATCTCCCCTGCTTACTCAAGCTTCTCCAAAAGCGTCCAGGCTGTAGCTTAGATTTTAGAAAAGGGCTATATAAAACCTTTGTATTATTATTATTATTATGTGGAGGGAAATTGTTCCCATTACGGCTGTGGTGGCAAAATTGTTCCCTTTATCAAGAGAGGGAAACATTGTTTTACTGCCTGACTTTGAGCAGTAGACAACATAACATTTTCTTTATTTATGCACTATTGATTTAGTGTTATTTATCATTACCAGTACAGCACTGGAAATCCATTAATTTCCTTTGTGTCAGGCTTTCAGACAAATCAAATTGAAAACACCCAAATACAGACTAACAGATGGAGAATAGTTTTGAGGAAAGTTGGAGGAGGAGAGATTTAGAAAGTGATATTAGAATTTGAGACTTGGGTCTTGAGCATAAGCCATCAGCTCTCTCTGTCTTTCTCTCTCTCTCTCTCTCTCTCTCTCTCTCTCTCTCTCTCTCTCTCTCTCTCTCTCTCTCTCTCTCTCTCTCTCTCCTTCTTTTAGCAAAAACACTCATTCATAATCTCTCTCAATAATTTGGCTTCAGTGATTGACCCTTCTTAAAAGTTAGTCCCAAACCCCAATTACCTACTCAGATAAGTGACAATGTTTACACAAAAGGCTCAGAATGAGAATCACAGGACTATTAATCTAATAGTGTGTTATTACTGCTATATGTCTCTGTCGCTAACACCCTAGACCTGCTGGTCTTCATCAAGTCAGCCACAGTCAGAGCATTACATTTTTAATTGACTTATAAAAAACTAAAAAAACTATCCAAAGTACATTTTCCTACTCAGGCAGAGCCAGACCAATAGCTCATCAATATTAATGGGGCGGTTTGCATCCAGACAGGTCAAACTTTGCAGTGACTGTCCTACAGTAGGCTAGCAGAGGACAGTGCCAGTCTTTGGGGTGAATGACCTCCAGTGCCAGTGGGTCACTGGCTGTTCTGCTGTGACTGAAATGTGTCTGTCCATTCACTGGCAGGCCCAGGGGGGATGTTTACTCAGTCTTTTTCCCCTACCTAGTGTCTGTCTAATGGCTGACGTTTGTAAGTTAATAAACCATTGATAACAGTTAATACACCTTTAAAAGCAGCTACTAAAGAGGTAATAAATAGAAACAAATTTGCACAGGAGTGTATTAGGATAGATAAATTAAATTACAAGCCCTTTGTAATGACATTTCTAAAAAATAAATGACTTAAATATAATAGACCCCAATTTGGCAATCACAGAAAATAAACGACCATGTAACCCATGGGGATGACAGATAAGATCTACAAACTATCTCTAGATTGAACAATACCGTAACTGGAAATTGCCATTGAGGAGAACACTGTTGAACAAAGTTGAAGAAAAGACAGACCGGACAGGATGGGCCACAGGAAAGAGAAGTGTGTACACACCTGTAGCTGTGTGAAGACAGCCTGTGCGTCTCAACGTCGTTTTCTTCTGCTGGTGCTTGTCAGAGGCTTGTGGGGGCCGATGTCTCAGTCTCAGTTGTGGCTCCTGTATAGCTGCATGTTCTTCACTCTCCTGCCTTCTTAGTACTGGTCTCTCTGTCTCTCTCTCTCTGGCCTCACAAACATACGTGCATACACACACACCCACAGTAGGATGGAGGCTGGTCCAGAAAGTTTGAGCAAGCCTGGGTGGATGGTAAGTTTTTCCCTCTGGAGTGGGAGGTTGTCCTGCCTACTACCACTGATGTCATAGTGCTCCTAAAGAATATCAGAACTCCTCCTACTAAAATGTTTCAATTGCTAATGAAAGGAAGAAAGGAAGGAGGGAAAGAAAAAAAGAAAAGAGCCAAATCCACGAAGCCTGGGTACCTGGAATTGGTGTGTGTGATGATGACACTTACACCCGCTCAGGATCACACACACATACTCACTCTTGCCGTCGCAGCTTAGCGCATGGAATATGTCTCACTCACACAAACTCTCTCTCAGTCAGGCTTAAATGTTCAATGTGTGGTTAAGCTCTGAAACTTTCCCATATACCTCATACACACACTTGTTATCAACAACTCACTCTCAATCAATTTTATTTGACCAAAGCTCTTTGAACATTTCTCTCTCATACATACTCCATCTCTGTCAAAAACACTGGTCCTAGAAGTCCTCTTAGAATAACTCCTGATCTTAGGGCTAATGGCAGCTGTGTTTATTTGGCTACAGACACAATATGTGGAGGTCTTAGCAGACAAAGACGTAAATCCCAAAGGAGGAAATAATTTTGAGTGTGGGAGAAGGGTATCACTTGGAAGACACTGGGATGGGGGACTATTAAACTTTCTTGACGTGTGTTTATATGTTTTAGTGTCTCTCAAAGGTGGTTGTTTGAATATAATTATATCCGAATGTAGAAGGATTTAACTCTGGAGAAAAGGTCCCTTATGAAAGTGAAGGACACACACGAAGCATGTAGCATCCCTTGTCTGGAATTGATTTCATGCTTTCTCCACCCCTCAACACTCTTTAAGTAACCTGTTACACATCACATGCACAGATTATATTTTATTATTGTGTCATAGTCCTCAATAAAAAAGTAAAGACAGGAATTATAGTCAATAAAAGAGTTTTTATTGCCCTATAAATAATTGTGTTGCTCTGTGGGATATGGACACTGTAGGCTAGTGATCCAGATGTACATCTGAATTTTATTTAGCTTCTTTATAGACCCTTTTCCCCCAGTCTATACAAGTATGGATCAGCCACAAGGAAAGGTTTTAAATCATTATAAATGCTTTTAATGTCCAAGAAACAGCAAGCGAGAGCCAGACTGAGTGATATTCTATGAGTGCAAGAATGGGTATTAATCATGTCTTGTTGTCTTGAGATGTTCATAATTTTTTTGGGTGAAGAGATGGTCTCTCCCAAGGCAACTTTTGTACAATATACACTGGATTGAACAGCTGTATATTTGCCTACAGACATACATTGAATCACAAAGTGCAATATTTAACCCAATAACAACCAATCAATAGATAACGAGGAAATTGTCCCACACTAAAATAAAGTCCGTTTTGCTGATCCTTGATCTGTGCCTAATGGCAACGTGTACCTGGGTCCACCTAAATTGCACCTATACGCTATGTTCAATGGGGGAGTGTAAACCTAAATCATATCTGCTCATACACAGCCATTGAGGGAAATTATTAATACACAGCAATGTCTCCTGAGGCATGTATGCTCTCTGCTGGCAAAAAATGCTAATTGCAGGTGTGTGTTTGCTTATATTCCAAGTTCATATGTGGCGCTGTTACACTTTTAGCTAATGCACACACTGCCGAGTACAGAAGAAGAAGATACAGCGCAGGCGCGGAATAAGTACGTCCCAGGGTTAGTAATTGCGCATTCAAAACAACTGGGAACTCGGAAAAATACGAGGTCAAATCATGACGTCAGTGATCTTCAGGTCGGAACACTAGAAAGAGGCCTGAGTTGGATGACCGTTCAGATCGATTTTTCACAGTCGAAGCTCATTTTTTCCCGAGTTCCCAGTTGTTATGAACGCACTGAAGGCTGAGATTTCCAAGTTCCCAGTTCCTTCGAACGCGGCATTATAAACATCTGAGTGCGTCACACAATTGTAGTCGTTATGGCAGCCCATGCTAGTGAGCTTGAAATTGCTAAGAAAAATTTAACAGAAGCAATTGGTGATAATGTCAAACAGTAAGTATGCAACCGTTGGTTGACGTGATGTTGTCCTTACACTGTAGGTTTGTTTAACTTTCCTATTTCGCAAGTTATTTTAAACGTCTATAAATAGATAGCAAAGCTAGCTAGCTGTCTGCGAACGGATATGCAGTGACCAGTGTAACCAAAGATGTTCTAATTGTTCTATCTGTCAATTGCATCTCTTTTTAAAGTTACTGGGCGAACTTGAAACTGTGGTTCAAACAGAAGATAAGCAAGGAAGAGTTTGACATCGAGGCTCGTCGCCTTTTGGCACAAGACAACGGTTAGTGCAGATATTATTCGACATTCTCTGTTTCTGTGTGTTGGACCTAACGTTAGCTGGTCCATGGAGCCCTGCATCTTTCCGTTAACCCCTTCATCGATGCTTTTTTAGTGACTGGCTTCATTACACTTTCGTTACACACAAAAGTAAAGATGTTACTAGAGAGCTGATTAAGTTTTCTCTGAATTGGCAAGCTGTCGTTTCGTTAGTCCAAAATACGAAATGTGAGCACTGTTTACCGCCACTAGCCATGCGCATGCGTCTGATCTGCATGGACCAGAGCTACTGTTCAATGCAAAAAAATAAACAATTTCAAAGCTAACTCTCCACATTTTCCCCTCTCAGTTCATGTCCACAATGACTTTCTCCTGGCCATTCTCACTCGCTGTCAGATTATCATCTCCACACCAGGTAGGTTTTCCAATATTGAATGTATCAATATCTTAATTGATACAGTTTCCTCACATCTGTATGTTGACCACAAACCTGACTGCAACAACCTCCACTTTTCCAGAGGGTGCTGGATCTTTGCAATGGGCAGGTTGTGCAGCCTCCAAGCCTGGCAAGCCTGCGAAAGGAAAGAAGAAGTTCTCCTCCAGACAGAAATTTGATGTGAGTTGTTAATAATGTATTATATTTGTAAAGCACTTTTAATTACCAAGAATAATCTCAGTGCATAAAATATAATATTATATATATATATATATATATATATATATAACCATATCATGAAAGCAACAATCAAAGTCTAGGAGGAAGGGTAGGCCAGCCGATAGAGATGAGTCTTAAGGTCAGATTTAAAAGCTCCAACAGTCTGAACAGCCCTGAGATTATCTGGAAGGGAGTTCCATAGGCGTGGTGCGTGGGAGGAAAAGGCACGGTCCCCCATTGTGCGGAGCCTTGTCCTAGGGGCCTGAAGTAGTTTGGCGTGGCTTGAACGTAGGGTGGGTGGAGGTTCATAGGGGGAGAGTAGATCTGACAGGTAGTCGGGTCCGATGCCGTTTAGGGCTTTGTAGACGAGGAGGATAATTTTATAGTCAATTCTTTGAGGAACAGGTAGCCAATGGAGATCAGCAGGGATGGGGTTGATGTGGGCAGACTTTTTGTGTTTGTCAGAATCCTTAACACACGTGTAACAAATACTTCGTAATTTTCTTGCGTTGTGTTTATAAAGAAAGTTGTTGCCCTTGAATAATGGATAATGGGAGGTGGCAATAATATATGGTTTAGAAACTTCAGACCCATCCTTCTGGTGAAGTATAATTCTGTGCGTGACCCGTTGCGTCTTCAGCATCGTTTCCAGCCCCAGAACCCTCTGAGTGCGGCCCAACCCTTTAGCCCGCGGGAGGTGGGGGGTGAGGAGGAGGAACTGAAACTGAGTGTCAATACCTTGCTGCTGCCCACCCGCGGCCAGCTGGAGGCCCGCATGATGGTCACGGCCTTCGAGCTGGGCCTGGACAACGTCATGGAGGACGCTGTCAGCACCATGATCCACGCTGTGGAGGTATGTGTGAGATACTGGTTCAAGATATGTTTTCATTCTAGGGCTCAATCCCAATACCCCCCTTAGCCCTCCCCCTCGTTTGAGTCTCCCTCGGTGGGGTAGTATCCCTCAAACGGAGAAACTAGTGGTAGGGAGAGATACCATAACCCTAGGGAATGGGACATCACTACATCATTCGCACACAGCAGAAGCCGGCAAAGGATAGCTTACGACGCAATTCATTGATGTCGAGCCTGTACTGTACTGACGGCAGTAATAGCTTTTCTTATATTTCTCATGCAACAAATACGTTCTTACCATATGAGCAACAAATGAAAGAACTGCAAAACAACAATGTGCCCTAATGTACCCATCCTCTAGCTGTGGTTCAATGTGGAGTAGTACTGAAGTAGGACTTTCATTCCATAATAGCAGTTTGACAAGTAACAGTCGCATTTCCTTCACTCTCTCATTTTCTGCAATTTCTTGGGGATTAATGTTTAACCAGTGGAAGCAATTAAAACGACTGTTCTGAATTAATATTTATACCAAACATTTTAGGGTCTGTATATAGATCGTCTACAAAGCTACACATCCATAGAATACAGGTATTTTTTTATCCTGCACTACACAATAAGTAAGAAAAGAGTTAGCTACGTTATTTCAGCTACATTGCATGACAAATATCGTCAATCTCTAACATTGAAGAACAATGACAAGTGATTTGAATTTGATGTTTTTTTTATGACCAGCAAGGCAAGCTTACAAAATTGTTTATTCAATTTGCACTAAATGCTTTAGCTAGATTCTTTGCGTCCACGGGATTTCACAAGATGACAGCCCACACAATACCCCATAATGACTAAGCAAAAAGTTTGTTTTGTAAATTTATAAAAAACGAAATATTACATTTACATAAGTATTCAGACCCTTTACTCAGTACTTTGTTGAAGCACCTTTGGCAGCTATTACAGCCTCGAGTCTTCTTGGGTATGACGCTACAAGCTTGGCACACCTGTATTTGGGGAGTTTCTCCCATTCTTCTCTGCAGATCCTCTCAAGCTCTCAGGTTGGATGGGGAGCGTCGCTGCGCAGCTATTTTCAGGTCTCTCCAGCGATGTTCGATTGGGTTCAAGTCCGGGCTCTGGCTGGGCCACTCAAGGACATTCAGAGACTTGTCCCGAAGCCACTCCTGCATTGTCTTGGCTGTGTGTTTAGGGTCGTTGTCCTGTTGGAAGATTAACCTTTGCTCCAGTCTGAGGTCCTGAGTGCTCTGGAGCAGGTTTTCATCAAGGAGCTCTCTGTACTTTGCTCCGTTCATCTTTCCCTCGATCCTGACTAGTCTCCCAGTCCCTGCCGCTGAAAAACATCCCCACAGCATGATGCTGCCACCACCATGCTTCACCGTAGGGATGGTGCCGTGTTATCTCCAGACGTGACGCTTGGCATTCAGGCCAAAGAGTTCAATCTTGGTTTTATCAGACCAGAGAATCTTGTTTCTCATGGTCTGAGAGTCCTTTAGATGTCTTTTGGCAAACTCCAAGCGGGCTGTCATGTGCATTTTACTGAAGAGTGGCTTCCTTCTGGCCACTCTACCATAAAGGCCTGATTGGTGGAGTGCTGCAGAGATGGTTGTCCTTCTGGAAGGTTCTCTCATCTCCACAGAGGAACTCTGGAGCTCAGTCAGAGTGACCATCGGGTTCTTGGTCACCTCCCTGACAAATGCCCTTCTCCCCCGATTGCTCAGTTTGGCCGGGCGGCCAGCTCTAGGAAGAGTCTTGGTGGTTCCAAACTTCTTCCGTTGAAGAATGATGGAGGCCACTGTGTTCTTGGGGATCTTCAATGCTGCAGAAATGTTTTGATACCCTTCCCCAGATCTGTGCCTTGACATAATCCTGTCTCAGAGCTCCCCTGACAATTCATTCGACATCATGGCTTGGTTTTTGATCTGACATGCACTGTCAACTGTGGGACCTTATATAGACAGGTGTGCCTTTTCCAATCATTTCCAATCAATTGAATTTACCACAGGTGGACGCCAATCAAGTTGTAGAAACATCTCAAGGATGATCAATTGAAACAGGATGCACCTGAGCTCAATTTTGAGTCTCATAGCAAAGGGTCTGAATACTTATGTAAATAAGGTATTTCTGTTTTTGCAAACATTTCTTAACCTGTTTTTTGCTTTGTTATTATGGGGTATTGTGTGTAGATTGAGGATTTTTATTTTTTAAATCCATTTTAGAATAAGGCTCAAATGTAACAATGTGGAAAAGGGGAAGGGGTCTGAATACATTCCGAATGCACTGTAGCTTGTTAAATAGCGATTTTCATAAATTAACTTTATGACAGAAATATGCATAATTGTTTGTCTCTACATTTTTTGCATGATTTGTTATGAAGTTATAATTACTAACATTTGCTTCCATCCTAGTATTTTTACTTTTCTGAAGCAACTCTCCAGCCTTGGGAGATTCATGGGAGTTTTGGGAACCTCTCGGTCTGTGACTCGATAGGAAGTCTGCATCTCGATTCACTTTATTTGAAAGTGTGTGTGTGTGTAGTGCCTGGAGGGCTGAAAAGGCACTACGCCTCACTCCAAGTTGAATTGGCATACCACTCTGACTCGATGGGGCTCGTGGGATAGCGCAAAACTGAGTGGGAGGGCTAAGGGGGGGTATTGGGATTGAACCTAGGACAGATTACTTTATGCTTTGAGACATGCTTCACTAAGCTGTTGTCCCTCCACTACCACAGAACCATCTGAAGGATGTGCTGACTGCCGTGGTGTCCAGGAGGAAGGCCTACCGGCTGCGTGACGGACACTTCCCCTACGCCTTCGGCAGTGACGTCACCCCACAGCCCTACTTGAAGAACAGCCTGGCTGCCTACCACATCGTTACAGAATGGTAAGGAGGTCAGAGGTCAACTCTGTCTGCAGCTCTCCGCTGTCATCTACCTCGCATCAACTAGAAAAATGTTCAGTGAAATCTCTTAACTATTTGTGTCAATGAATCGCAAAGAAACCGAAACGTAGTTACAATGCTATTATTAGGAAATTACATCCTGGTAAGCAGCGGACTGTAGAATAAAGTGTAACCAATTGTTCTCTTCCAAGTAAACTTGAAGGGCCATTTATAGACATCAATAGGGGCGGCAGGTAGCTTAGTGGGTAAGAGCGTTGTGCCAGTAACCGAAAGGTTGCTGGTTCTAATCCCCGAGCCGACTAGGTGAAAAATCTGTCGATGTGCCCTTAAGCAAGGCACTTAACCCTAATTGCTCCTGTAAGTCGCTCTGGATAAGAGCGTCTGCTAAATGACTAAAATGTAAATAGTAGCTAGCTAAATGGTTGTTGCTCTCTGTCAGATGGATTTCAAACAGCATACTGTACTGTAGGTGCATGAAGTAACAGTTAGGTGAGGCAGGAGAGCTGCCAGTACAGCACCCTGCAAAAAGGATCACTGGACACTGGATAGAGGTCTGTCAAAAATACTTATATTTTTTATTTACAATTGGAAAGGTGCAAAAAGGGCAACGTAGTGCATACTTTTTGCACCATTCTGTAAGGTTTTCTTATTATTCCTAGAGAGAACTCCTTTGCGGTGTTGGGGTCAGGCAGCATTCCCCTTTACTAATAGATTACCTTTATGCTTTTTGTCATGCTCTTGATTCAATGTCCGTACTGACCGGCTCTCTCTCTCTCTCCTCGTCCCCCAGCCCACCTCCCAGTGCGTCTCTCCCAGCGGGCCCGCCCCCTCAGGTGTCACCAGACGATACTGAGCAGCAGGCTGCTCTCCTATTGGCCTGTTCCGGTGACGGTCTCCCTGCGCCCCTCCCTCCTATCAGCATGTTTGATCTCCTGGAAGCGTTACAGGTGAGGAGATTGCAGCCTCAATTGGCCTTACCTTAACATTATATATCTATAACCAAAAACATTTACATTTTAATTGTTTTCCTTTTCACTCACAATCAACAAACAAATTATTATGTGTAATCAAAAGGCAAAGCTGAACAGAAGGTATTTATGTAATTGTATGTGAAAGAAAAAAGAAACTCAAACTACTGTATTGCTAATGTATATGTTTTTCCTTGATGTAGGTCCACCGGGGTGTGATGCCCTCTCACACCATGTATGCCCTGAACATGGAGCGTATCCTGTCCCGGCTGTGGCATCCAAGTCACGAGGAGCTGGAGCAGGACCATGTGCACCGCCAACGCCTCGCAGGGAAGGACGGCCTGCTTGTCAGCTGATACACACAGACGGTCAGGTGGACACACAGACAGATAGTGGTGGGGTAGGGCAGAGACAAATAGAGAGATGAACACAGTGTTGAGGCACCTATGTGGCCCCTATACACTGCCTTGAAGCAGAGCGAGGGAGAGGATGATCTCTAAGACTGGATTAACAATCCACTAGGGGGGCTCTGCAACCGATTCACCATGCACCACAACTTTACACTAGTGTCAATAATGTTTTAGAACGCTTGGTGGAGTGTAAACCCAGCCTTAGATGCATATAGTATATCTGTGTGGAAGACTCACAGACCTGTGCTGTAATGTAGAGAAATAAAGGAAGTCCCAGTGTGGTGTGGTATGGTCACAGACCGAGCTTATTAAGGCACTAACATGTCTACACACACAGAGCTATATCTCTCCCATAACCTCTCTGCACTGTTAATAATGTTAACAAGTTTAAGGTGGATGGGTGCATTTCTGACCTTCGGGTGAGTTTCAGTTATTTTTGTCAGTTAATTTGTCAGATAGTGTTACTTTCGTATTTCCCACACATCTGAACAAATATTGTGGCCCCTTTTTATTTTGATATTGACATGCCCTTGCAGAATTATGCCTGAAGTACACATGGGTCCTTGTTTACTGAACTTTGTCACAGCAATGCATACATCACAGTATTTATGCAAATATGTATATATGATTGTGTATTTCTTTCCACCGACAATCGTTTATAATATCAATGGAAGTCAAAAATGGCAAAATGAAATAAAAAATATATTACACAAAATAAGTTTCATTGAATTAATTTTTTCTACATTTTATCTATTACATTTTCATAATTTGCCCATTTTAATCATCAGTTGAAATAGATTACTAAGTAATCTTCCATTGTATCTTCTATCATTGAAATATATATTTTTTTAATAAACACAGCCAACTGTCAGGTGCTGGACAGACTTCTTTGACGTTCTATCATTGAACATTTTAAATATATTATCTATGTAATAAAATAGTGTAATGCATCTATTTCTATGGTGGAATAGAAAAAATAAGTCATCTTTGGGAATAGGCCTGTAGAAGACACTATTGAAGTTTGTTTCTCCTCATGTGCACTTGAGCTCTGTAAAACACCACCAGTGGTATGACCAGAGACTGTTCAATGAACTAAGTAGGCCAGACCCAGCTGCTATAGAGCTTGTAGTCCTAAAAAACAGAAATGATTTACCTCTGGTTGTTCAGCCATGGGGAAAATTAATGGGGAAAGAATAGTTAGTTGGTTAACATGACCTTTATTAATTATGAGCCTTTATGTGTTTTGTGGGGGGTTTTCTTACATAAATGCTTCAAAATTCACAAAAAGTGACATTAGCTGATGAAGATTCTCATAGAACAAAACGTTTAAAATCTCCTAAACCTGTGTTTATCACAATTTATTTTCAGCGTTTATCCAAAAACTCAATTTTCCCATAGGCTTTGTTCAACGAACCATAGGGGAGTTACTGCCTACAAAAAGACGACATTACTAATGCTCTCTATTGCATTTGTGTCTATGAGAGACACCCAGTTAAGTAGACCAGAACTGACCATTTGTTTTCAATGGTAAACGGCCTGCGTGAACTATCCACCATCTTTGGTATGACTACTAGGCCTACTACCGACCAGCATTTCCAACGGGACCTCGTATTTTAGGCACAATTTCGCGAACCCTAACCCCTTTCCTAACCTTAACCTGCTGCGTAGGTTCTCCTAACCTGCAACGAAAAAGTAACTTGGGTATCGAAGTGCCGTGAAAATAGTGTTTCCCACACCCACCCGTCATAGACAAGGTAACTGCTCAGAGCTCTCTTGCCATATTTGGCTTGCTGGCTGCTCATTTCCGACACGTCGTCCAATCGTTTGTCGAGGAGCACGGTCCCCCTACCAAGCGATTACGCTACACTGGAGTGACTCAATGGTCAGTCTGTCCCTATTTCACTGTCAACAAACATTTAATTAATTCACTGTTCATCCTGGGCTGAACTATTGACCTATTTCCCTGACATTTAAAACCCCATTCTGAATAATTATAACCGCGACAATATTCTTCATGATAATTTTTATTCCACATTAGATTTGTCGTTTAAACATACAGTTCGCATAAAAACAGGCATAAAAACAGTATTATGATAAGGTATTAATTCAGATCTAACATTTGTTATACCCCTTTCACAAAATTGTATTAATGTGTAAATGTTAAGAAAGTAAGAAGGTTTTGTGTCAGTCCTAGTAGCCTAGCCTACACACACCTGTGAGTCAGTCCTTTCACAAGGTGTGTCAATAATGCAATGTCTCATCGTGTTACATTGTACAACTTGTTGCTGGTGAGAAAACTCAGTGCTAGACTTGGACTATTTACATACTAGACAATGTCAAAACTCGTCATAGGGTAACAGGCATTGGCACTGTTTGTCGGCCTTGGCCACCCCTAGCCTAATTATTCCACGAAGAAGTTTATATTGTCGCCATTCTGTCAGGCGCAAAGACGAAGTACTGTATCACGCCCCTAGGAGCTGCGTTTGGTCCCATAATGAAATGTCTCTCGCTCAAAGCGCAGTCTTTGGCCGTTCAGAACGCCTGGAGCTGCTGCGTCAATATGAGTTGGCACCCGCTGTTAACGTGGTCCATGACCTTCTGTTTGAGCAGTGCCAGTTCGTCCCGGAGCACGTTGGCAGAGGAGACCAACTCTGTGTGTTGGGTCTTCAGGTTTTTTACCCTGTCCTCCAGCCTCGAGATCCTCTCCAGCTTCCTTTTCCGGCATTTGGACGCGGCCACCCTATTTCTCAAGCGCTTTCTCTCGGCTTTTATCCGCTCCTGGCTCTCCATGTCGATAGGAGACAGCGGAGGGGTATCGCCACTCATCTCGGGCACCGTCTGGGGCTCCTCTTTGAATGACTGTAGCCGAGGATGCTGTATCCGTGGATGCTGGGGCTCGATGTGGGTTTGGGACGGGTCGGCCGTGTAACTAGCGGAGGAGAGTCTGTCGCCGTTAAGTGCCGACGCAGAGCTGACAGCCCGACTGAAAGTGCCCAAGTTTGTGTATTCAGGTGGCTCGGGGCGCACGGTGCAGCTGTAGGGTATAGGACTGTCCGACACAGTAGATGCGGGTGCCATGTCGTTGGGAGCATTGGTTTGAGCGTCAGAGCTGCCATTGGGCATATGCTGTTGATAATGAAGCTCCGCGAGCGCCTTTACGAATCCCTCGGCAAAACCCTCTTGCTCGTCGGTGATGTTCTTGGGACAGAGGAACTGAGTTGGGGTCGGAGTCGTCAGCCCATTGCAGGACTGGATGATGAGCCTTTCCAATTCCGGGGAGGCCAGTTTTAATAATCCCACATCAGGGGACGTCAGGATGTCGATAGCTTTCGCCCGCAGATGAGGTTTAAACATTTTAGGGTCGTTTAGGTTCAGTGTCATGCTCTGCTTCAGGGTTTTCGGGTTAAACCCATGATATCCACCCACTGCGCCTTGCTGACCATTTACCGATTCGTCATATAATGTAGCTTCCATCTTGGTGGGCATCAATTGACGGGTCTTTATTTCGAATATAATTGCTGGAAAAAAATCCAAACATCAAAGGTCGAAATTGCAATAAACAATATGGAGTGATAAATTGTAATCTGATTTCCCAAATCTTTTTACAGTCTTAGGACAAGTAATTTTCGAATCTCAACCCGGAGGACAACTCTTGATGTCCGATGTGGAAACTTTTCTTGAGATTTGATAAAATAATAGTATCAAACAAACAAAATATGAACTTCCTCAATCGATAGGCGTCTTTGTTTCAATTAGGATTTTTTAAAAAAAATCATCGATTCGCCTATTCAAATAAGGTTTTTCTTCTCTAAGCAGATACTGTGTCTGACTCGACACAATGTAGTTTCTACCACTTCCAACGTGGAGACGAACTTTATCCACTTCTAAGCTGCTGCTATACTGAAAATAACAATGATGTCATGTATCAGGCTTCCTATTGGTTTGAGATGATGTGATGGGCGTTACTTCTTTTAATGACATGCACGTTGCGTTGACAACCAGCCATATTCCCGCCTCCCGCAAAGGCTGATGGGATTAGGTAATGCAGTAAAAGGAACGTTGTCCTCTGGGATTGCGTTTTGTTTTTGAATGTCTTTTTACCCGCTCAATTTTGTTATCCAATCTCAATAAAAATTGACCAGATTACCTTTTAAAATCAGCTTTCACGATATTTGCTTTCTTTTGCTCTTTGACTTTGTGGGTGAATGCGTAGGAATTTGATATACTTCTGGTGCTTGTGACAGAGTGGGGGGGGGGGTCGCTTCCTCTGTTTTTTGTTTTGCTTTTCAGGTGATACTTTATGCATTAGTTATGTAGTACAGAGTACAGGTATAACAAGTAAGCAACTATGTAACAACAATGTGTTCCTTCCTACACTGTAATTACACGGTTACTACCATGCAACTACATAACCTAGGTATTACCATTCCTGAATGTAAAGTGGGGCCAACTCTGTAACTTTATTTTTCATTATATATTTCCCCAAATAGATGTAGTCTATGGCTTATTATTTTTATGCCTGTGAAGTGGGGCCAACTCTGTAACTTTATTTTTCATTATATATTTCCCCAAATAGATGTAGTCTATCGCTTATTATATTTATGACTTTCATGTGCAAAAAAAAAAAAAAGTGCAATATGTGGAGAAACTCCTTCCATTTCCAGTAGAGCTCAATGGGCCTCAAAGAGGTGCTCCTCAGTCTCAAGCAAACTGTCTGACTGATAGTGCTGGTATTCTCTCTGCTCTGTCCTTGCCGTGAGCTTTAACTCTGTCTGCTCACTCCTTGCAATATTCAACACATTCTATTTAACCCTGACTATAAATAAGTGGACGGGCCACAGGCACAGGCCACAGACTGAGGTCAACCCTGAAGTGACACGCTTGTCCTCAGGTTGCCTTGACGGCACAACAACCACCACCATTTGGAGGTATTTGACACCTTCACTTGGAATTCCAGATTGGAATATTTTGGAAAGTCTGTTCCTCCTGTCACAATAATGATACTAACAACAAATGTGTTCAATGACAACGTTCCAATCCCACAAACATGCACACAGTCACAGGGATACACCAGATGAACACAGGCCAAAAAATAAAAACAAACACGTGTGCATGCACGCTCTCTCTCTCTCTCTCTCTCTCTCTCTCTCTCTCTCTCTCTCTCTCTCTCTCTCCCTCCCTCCCTCACACACTCACA